TCTCAGCAACGTTGTGGTTGTATTTCGCTTACTTAGTGACCTGCCATGAAAATTATAGAAGGCAGAAAACAAAACGTTAAACATTGTGATTTCAACTACAGCCATAGCTTAACTGGGTTCTATGCCGATTTGCGCTCCCCAGATCAACCCCGCTGACGGGTGATTGCTGTGGCAAAAAGATCGATAGAAATAGCTGAGAGACGTGCGAAACAAAGGACCCGCATGGTGTGGTGGTGAACGCGTTACTCCCCGGAAAGGACAATAGCGCGTTCGTTCCCCACCATAGACACCTGCGGTCCAGAGTTTTGCAAATATCTCAGCAACGTTGTGGTTGTATTTCGCTTACTTAGTAACCTGCCATGAAAATTATAGAAGGCAGAAAACAAAACGTTAAACAATAAGATTTTGATTTCAAAATTTTCACCGCTTGCCTTCAGTACTTCGAAGAACTAACTGTAACATTTTATGAAGGAAACAGATTTAATATTGATCATAACATCAATATTAAAAAAGAGTTGGAGTCATTCGATTACGTTGTTACTCATATTTTTCAGATCTAAATTTAGTTTTCTCGATATTTCAAAGAGGTTCACAAGGCGTTTGTGTTGGTTGGTTCGTGTGCTAGTTGCTTTTCCTTTTTCGGCCAGCGACGAGGAACTATTGGTTGGTGACGGAGCTCGCATCCTCAAACTTTAGATGTTGGAACTAAACGTTTTGTGTAATTTCTGCTCTGGTTCCGCACATTTCATAACTAATTTCCTTTTGTACTGAATCTTGATAGACACTGCTTTGGCCTTCCTGAGTTATGTTCGATTTCTCATCCATGAAAGAGCGTAAATCTTAAGATGCCAATTGAAAAATTTGCTTTTATTAAGAGAAAATGGTCGCTCATTGTTTCGGGAATGCTTCGAAATAAGAGCTATCACTTGTACACATTCTTTGCCATTTTAAAGACGTCCACCTTCCCACAAGAAAGGTTAAACACTATGTGCACTAAGTACTAAATTGATACGGAGCACGATAAACCCCTTTCCGCGTCCAAAGAAAGATGTTGTCTCCCTTGGAGAAAGGGAATGCAAACATTGGTTTTCCTACTTTAGTGTGCTCTGATTCACCTTTGTGCTGTTAGCGACGTGAAGCGGTGACACATGGCCGTTATAGTATTTGTGTCCTTGCATTCCCTTCCAGTATATTATGGGATAACCCTCAAATTTCTATATACAATATCGTGCAGTAAAGTACAGCGTGTAGTAAGAGATCGAAGATCTGCTAAACCGATGTAGCTGCTCATTAAAAGTTTTAGAAGACGAGATAAGAACACCCCGTCTCCGCACATTGTTCTTTCTTCCACGTAAATGAGAAAAACCCACATTGTTTGCGGAAAGGTGTCATGGATCCCAGCTTGTTTGTTTTTTTTAGCCGGCAAAACTTCAACGATCGCGCGAAAAAAACCAAGGGTTTCAGAGTGCTCATAAGACCACAGCGATTCCGAGACTTTGCAAAACTCAGGCCCTAGTCCAAATTCGAACGCGCGATTACCCATTCCAGAGGCCCATGTGTTACCCACTGCACCGCCGAATCCTTTGATTTGCCATTCTCCTATTCAGTTCTTTTGCCGTACAGTGCCGTCAGCAATCAGCTGTCGACGGGAATGCTCTGAAGAGCATAAATCGGCTTTGAACCCAGTTTTGCTGAGGTTGTAGTCGAAACCACATTATATAAGTTTCTATTCTTCTTTTTCCCTTGTTTTATCATTCCCACTGGCGAATGATTTGGGTAATTGGTTTCGTAAGACGGGCTACGATATGTTTAAGCAACTTTAGGATTACTAGGCTTATCAAGCCTCTGTGCTGCTTCGAGGTTAGAACTATACTTTCTCGCTACAGTGCTTGAGGATTCCGAGAGCTTCGTTCGAAAATATGCAAAAATTTTTGCCTACTTGGGCGGTCTGGTAAGATACTTGGACCCAATTATAATTGAGAGCACGCGTCGTCAGAGAGAGTCACACCTCCTAACACGGTGACTCTTGATTTTTCTGCCACGTCGAAGACCCTAGTTGGACTCATGCCATTAGATTGTTCAGAAATAAATGAGCGTTCTAAAATATTTGTGGTTTTAATGTAATTTCTCTTACCAATAAAATATTCCTTGCACCTTGCAATATTACATGTCATTAGAAAGCTGATTTTATTCTCTTCCTAACCATTTTTTTATATTTTGTTGAAAATTAAATTTTTTCACCAATTTTTAGTTTGGGTTGAGTTTTTACCAATAATACCTTCGTAAACGGTTTTTCCTTGTTTAGTTAAAGGTGATTTATTCGACTCATTCTCGAACTCCTAAATCCAAAAGCGAACCGCAAGGAGAGTGTCTTGTGATTACTCGTGATCTCGCGCCATCGCTTAGATCAGTCCTTGATCTAAGCCACGCACATTTCTCACCTATGTAAGACTCTGTGCGGTCGTTCTCCAACGGTGTCCAATAATACCTATGACTGGACTAACTGATGGACTTAAGAAGAACAAAACGGTGAGTGTTTAGGAGAAGCTGGGTTCATTATGCGAATAACCACTTGTGTATTAAGTTCTTTCTGCTAGGGTTATAATAGTGTTCCACTGGGTAGATTATCTATCATTTTGACTGCTCTGGGTTCTGACGAAGGTGAAAACGGCGAAATTTCAGCTAGTATTGTGCTGCATAAATCTTTCTATCAACAACTTCTTGGCTCATTAGGAGAACAGTGTGATTAATGCCGTGCTTAAAACAAAGTCCGTTCCTGGGATCCGCACGATCGAACATCAGGAAGGCTTCCGTACATGTCAAGCTGCAGAAAATCAAACGAACCACGTAGTGCATATTAACTATAACAGGTGGGCAACAGTCACTAGTGACGGACACCTGCAAGTTGTTAGACACACAGTGGGCACACTGTCTCACAGGGTGGCCGGAACTCTTCATGAGTGTTTTCCTAAGCGTGAAGAAAAACAAGAATTTCGAGCGTGGTTGCTGCTCTTTAAAGTCCACTACATTGTTATATAGTAGCAGTTTTCATCAAATATATTTAATGAAAATTTCTTGACATGAGTAGTTTTCGACTCTTAATCTATTTGGGTATGCGCGCATATGTCTCAGTTTTTCGTGGAAGTTGTTCCTAGGTGTTAAGGTGTTGGTAACTCGTTAGTTCGAGAAAATGAGGTGTCGTTGGTGTCACTGCAGCGTTAGCATGAAAATAGTGAACACATAAGGTCTGACACATTTCAGTTTGACCTAAGCGGTTTGAGATTTGTTTGTAAGAAGCACGGCATCTCAAGCAACTCAACGTATTAATGTTTATTTTCTCGTCTAGAGCGTCATTGTCATTCTCACATTTTATGCAACCATCTCTGATTGTCGTCGTATCTTTTGTCATTTTTCCATCAAAATTCAACCACTCTACAGATTTGTCCTTCTCAAAATAGTCTTTTAAGAATGTCTTGACTTTTATCTATTGTCCATTCTTTTTTTCATACGAAGATAGGATGTGAAATACAACCGTTGGGTTGGACCTCACCTACGCGAGCAACCGGTGTGAGTAATCGCGGGTTTGAAGCTCACCTGAGGTTCCATGTTTTGCTCATATCTCAGATAAATCACTGTTTTTCTTCGATAAGCAAATACGACGTTGATATTTATCAATATCAACCTCGTGTTTGCTTATCGAGGAAAAACTAAATCCTCAGCATCTATGTGGTCTTCTACGTTTTATGTTCTATTCCACTCTTCCAAAACTTAATTTAATGCTTCCTGCTTTCACCTTATGATTTAGTTGTATTCTACTGGCTCGTTAGTAGCGTTAAATAGGGAAACCTCCCTTATCGCTCGTAATGTATGATTGAAATTTGCCAAAATTTCATACAACAAGGCAAATTCTAAGTTAGAAAAGTAGCATGAGAAGTCGAAAATAACTTATTTGTCTTCCTAACATACCGTTTCTGATTCCGAAGAGTCAAAGAAAGCCTACAGATAAAGTTTTTCTTCGTAGAAATGTAAAAAACTGAGATTCACTCCACAAAGAATTCATTGGTGCTCATCTTTGTTATGACTCGATTCCTACCGATATAATTTTCACATCTCATTTATCATATCTCTGCGATAAATGAAATCACTCGGTCATTAATGATTCAGTAATGGCGGATGGCAGTCGTGTGGCGGCAGTGGTGCGATTGATGGAGTCTTTGATGATACCATCAGACAAGAATTGCTCAGAACGAATGGACACGCCGTCAGCCAGAGAATTTCTTACTAGTTTGTGTTCTTTCAGTCTGTTCTTGTTTACGTCTTATCTCACTTATCATTCATTAGCTTCATTTGTTTGACGGTCACGGGTGGGTGAGGTGGGTAGGTTATCTACAAATCAACTTGGTGCATGGTATTGACCATAGTCTTACACATTAAGGCGACTCTCACTACCGCCTCCCAAGCTGGCCTCTGTTAAGTCAGAAAGCTGCTCACATTTCCACAGTGTGCATCTGCATCCATACTTCTAAATTTTGTACCGTACTAGGCGTTTCTTTTCTTCAAAAATTCTTATTTACTTGATGGGATATGGAAAAGAAGGAGAATCTTAAGAAGAAGGTGGCAATGGAAAAACAAGTGAATACTTCACCCAAGGAGCCATATGTACACATATACAAATATAACGATGCTGAGATATTTGCAAAACTGCGGACCACTGGTGGCTGTGATGGAGCCGAACACGCAATTACCCTTTCCGGGAGCTAGTACGTTCACCACCACCCTATACGAGTCCTTCGTTTCGCCTTTCTCTCAGCGTCTCTCGTATAAATATATGTATATATTTATACACTTTTCTTTTTATTTATGTCGAATGCAGCTGATTAGAATAGCTTCTGGGTGAAATCAAGGAGTTACGAATAACATTGCTGTGCAAAATGGGCAGATTGGAAATTTTTATGCGCTTCCTTAGTGAAATCCTGCTTATGAAATTCTTGAACATTTGCATGAGATATTGTTGGGCTATTTCAGATCTCGAGCCATTCCAAGTAGTTCTTTTGGCGATCGCTGGTGCGTTCACCTTTGTTGTATGCAGTTTGGCACTAGTCCACTGGTACTACGTATACTCCTTCGTTTCTGTCGAAACAAGAAGGAATAAGTTGTACTGGCTCATCACACTCTTTCCGGTAAGGTAGAATTTCACCTTTGAAGAAAAAAAAGACGGCATAATGCCACTTCCACTTTTGATGGGGAGGCTAAAAATTGTTCGTTACTGAGTTCAAAGCGTCTTCTAGTTTTCTGAGAACGTTTTTTTTAGAAGGAAATGTTGTTGTTTTTGTGGCATCAAATTGTTGGGATTTCTATTTGCCTTTGCCTCTGACGATGACTGAGCAATTTGAGTTCAGGTGTCGACCGCCTGTTGCCTCGTCGGCATGCTGGCGCCGCGCACGTCGCTGATCATGACAGCGCTCGGCATCCTCTACTACCTGATGTGCCTCTTCGTCATCGTGTCGCTCTGCAGGCGAGTGAAACCCACGTTTATTCTTGCAGCTATGCATTAAATCGCATTCGTCGTTGGTTCAACGGGGTGCTCAAGTTAGCGCGAAGTTGAATTCCTTGCACTTTGTGCCATCCACTCAAGCAAGGAGTTGAATCTCTTTTCAGAGACGGTTGTGCGGCTAAAACATGCATTAATGAATGATAAATTGTGGTTTGTCACAACTTTCGTTTATCATGAAGTAATGAAGCATGAAAAACATAAGAGGAAAAAAAACATTGTCTAGATCCCTAATTGATCATTAAATCTACTGCCACATAGCAAGAAGTGTGCAAGTTGCTTTTGTGACAGAAACAAACACCTGTACGAATCGTGTGATGATCATTCATATTGTTTTGACAGGCGATATTAAATGTGGAGTAAAACAATGGAAACTTAAAGCAGCAGTAAAATTTCCAGATTTTGGCTAGGCACAGCAAAGCTTTTTAGTACGTTGGGCGAAGTATTCATTTTACGGAGTTTTAGAAGAATTATTTAGGAGAAAGATATTTCTTATTTCAGGGATCTAGGCATTTGGATATGTTCGTCGTCTAGCCTTCATCATGTTTCCGAGCTAACATGCAGCTACAGTTATAACTTTGCCCTCGCCTCACAATTAGAGGAACCATTACTAACTTTACTTCTTCTGTGCTAAAATCACAGAAGCGAATGTGTGTAGATATAAAGCTCGCTTTGAAAGACATTATGGGCCAGTATGGGCGCGTGTGGCGCAGTGGTTGGAGGCGCTCTTGAACACATACGTGGAATCGATGCCTGCGTCTATGGCCCACCAAGCCTTCCAACCCTCCGGAGAAAATTCGTACCAGAATTGTCTGGGAGGTTAGCAGCACTGGTTCGATACATCAGAAGGTCACCGGGAGTCATTGTAAAGACCAGATATGCATTCAATCACCTCCAAACGATGCTTAGTGAAGTCGAATGCATAGCGCATCGCTCAGGGATTAATCAACGCAGAGAGCTTTATCCTTAATCCTTCTATGGGCCGGTAATAAATGGTGAATTTCTCCTGCTCTTATGAGTGCCTTAATTTTTTGCCAACTCGGTAGAGCGTTTATTCAGCTGCAAATGCTACAGAGGTCTCTACAGAAAAGCATGCGTTCACTAGGAATGGTGTAGCAAAAGTCTTTGTTATAATTTTACGAGTATCACAACTACGTAGCATCGCTGAAGATGGGGAATTTCAATTACTACTTACTAGAAGATGTATAAAAGGTAGTTCTGGAGGAATGATGCTCATGGTTCTGTTCTCCATTCTTTAATCATCTTTCTTTTTCACGATCACCAGAAGCAATTGAGCACCCCATGTAAAAAGTCTTTTTAGAGCTGCATTTAGAAGTCCACATTAAATTTGGGATAGAACGCCTAGTGTGGATGGGTGGTCGCTAGTAGATATGGTATCAGTGACCTCCATTACCAGTAGTGATGTTATACAGGAGGAAAACTGAAGAGCATTTCAGAAATGGCCACCAACGATCAGCTGCTTATGGATTTTTTCTTAGGTGGCCGAAAATTAGTCGCGGTATTGTTTGTGGGGAGAAATTTTAACTAGATTGTAGTGATTCGGTTCAGCTTTTCGCAAAACAACAGCGAGGATAAAATGAATGTATCAGAATTTTAACTTATTATTTACTGCCTACTCTTTTTAATAGCAAGATATATTGCGAAATATAGCTTCAATAATGCTGAGATATTTGCAAAAATCTGGACCGCAGGTGTCTGCGGTGGGGAACGAACGCGCTATTGTCCTCTCCTGGGAGTAACGCGTTCACCACTACACCATGCAGGTTCTTCATTTCGCCTGTTTCACAGCTAGTTCTTTCGCGTTCGTTCCCCACCGCAAACACCTGCGGTCCGGAGTTTTGCAAATATCTCTGCGTCAATGAAGTGAATGTATCAGATTTTAATCATATAAAAAAGAGTTTAACTATCATATACCTAGGAATTTTGGGCACGTGTGGAGCAGTTGTTGGAGGCGCCTTGCAGCGCACACGTGGGATCGATCCCCGCTCCCATAGCCCACCAAGCCTTCCATCCCTCCGGGGTCGGCAGGTTGGTACCTGACTTCTCTGGGAGGATAGCAGCTCTGGCTTGATATATCATAGGCCACCACGAGTCATTGTAAAGGCCAGATATGCATTCAATCACCTCCAAACAATGCTTAATGAAGTGGAATGCATGGTGCAGCCGTCGGATTGATCAATGCCGAGAGCTTTATACCTAAGAATTTTGAGAATTGAAATCAAGACCTTCGACTGCATTCGGAATTTAGCACAAAAAGCTGGTCAAATAAGTGATGAGGCTTGAGGGCAGTCGATTATCCTGAAAGGGAAATAGCAACGATATCCAATATATGTGAGGCGGCTTTCTCCAGCGTAGAGCATCAAGATATGTGTTCTTGTTAGGTGCTTATATTGCTTCTAAGCCTTTTACTATTTCATGTATTTATGCAGTAAAATTAAATGCTCATATTTTTCCTCCTGTTCAATACTCGTATTTTGTTCAAGGCATTTATTCGGTGGACGATCGTCGCTCTCCAACAGCCTGCGTTTCGATGCGAGACCAATTGACTTCCGAAGCCCGCCATTCTGCTGCTTACTGCCTTACCTCCCTACTGCCAAATCGTCAGAGTAAGTCATAGTCCTAGTAAATGTTCAGCCCAGTTACACTTCTTGGTTCTTTGTTATTTAACTAATATCTATTTAATTACCCTCTTATCCCTCTACGCTGAATAATGGAAATATGCAGAGAAATAAGAAAAAAAAACAATTCTCAAGACCGACTTTCTAAAACCTCGATATTGTTCAGTAAGTCAGTGTTTCTCTCTTGATCCTCGCAATGGTTTACCACTTCATTATGGTTGGAAGGCTTTCATAAGTTCGGACTGTGATGTATAGCGCGAGGTTCTATCTCTCAGCACGGTCTCCCAAACTGTGAAGAAGTCCAAAATTTTTGTTCCAAACCTCAGCTAAGTGTAAACGAATACCAGAAATTACCACAGTCCTGGTACCAAAGTAATCGTGAGGTGGGAAGTCTCCCTCTGATCTACAAGAGCCTACACTGCCTGTAATGGTGATGATCTGAGGAAGACTACTGCTGACCTGTTCTTGGGACTACAGAGAACCACATTGGTTAAACCACCAAAGCTCCATTCTCACTACCCCGCACACTCGGCGCTCCCGCATACGACGTCAGGCGGTGGTGCAACCGGTGAGAGGTGTTCAAATTTCAGATTGCACGGGACGTCATTGGAAAGCGGCAAAACGAACTTTCCCACCACGTCATGGAGATTGTCTCATGCTGTGTACCTATGATGTCAGAAATCTCTTCAGATACTGACCTTCACGCTTTTCTTGAGGCCGCTTATCACTTTACAAGAGACGAAAAGCGGTAAGAGCGACATACGCCAATTAGATGATGGGACCTTTTTCACTCGTGGAGAAAAATTTCTGTTAAGAAATGTCTAAGGCGTCAGCTTTATCGTATGCTGTTCTATTTCCCATCTATTCACCTCATACGAAGTTCTATCACCACTCTTTGCAATTCTTCGCCCCTAGCTTCCACGTGAAAATAAAGTCAGTAGCATCAACTGCTACTTACCAACTTGCGCAGTTGATAAATGACAGCGATCTAGACGCGTTCTACAACTGGTTACAGGAAGTAATCCACGCCGAAAAATCCTTACATAAATTCGTTGCTGGAGACTTCTACGCTAGATTAGGAATAGCCAACGAAATCGAATGTATGAGAGCCAAATTTGCAGTAGGAAAACGAAGTGAGAATGGGGACCGCCTTTCAGGATTCCTGTCCACAGCACGTCTCTTCCGTTGGGACTCGTTTTTCGAGAAGGAGGAAAATCGCCGATGGAATGGGAGTTGCGTAATGGCGCGACTCATGTGGAGATCGATCATATTCTGACGAACAGAAAATGGTGCCTTTTTGACACCTCATTGAAACCTGGATTCTGTACCGGATCTGATCACCGCCTTTGTGCGAATATTTCATTCAACCATAAGCTGAAAAAGAACTCCTGTTATCGTGCAAGACAAGCGAAACAAGTTTTATATGACAAGGATATCGTCAATGAAATTCTTTCCTCATATAACTGGCAGTTAAAAGAAGTGTCGACCGACTACAAGCTGCTTGTCGAAGGTCTTAAATTCGTGCTGAACTCGATCCAATTTTTCAAACAAGAAGTTTACATCGCATCCCTATTAATGCGGAGGAGTTTCTCGAAAGGAGAAGGAAACCGATGCTTGATCCTACTACAACACATCTAACACCATCTAACATGACTGATAATAAATGCCGGCTCTAGAAGATCTTCGCAGAAAGATTTACTTTTTAGAGGCAGGTCAAAAGCTGTTTAGTCTGAAGAAGTGCCGTCTTGATCTTTGCGACTATAGTCTTCCACTGTCCGCCATGATGAACGACGGTGGAACTATCACAACCTCCCGCCATGTCCTGACGTGATAACGGAAAAGTTTTACACCAATATTTCCCGCTCCACATCTCCGGTCTTGGATCCCATGATCCCCGCTAGTGAAAAACCGCAAGGAATTTCAACCTTCCGAAGTTCAAGTTGCCGTACAAGACATGAACACATTCTCAGCTCCAGGACCCGATAATATGACCGCCGATGTCCATAGAACTGAAGGCCGCAAATTGCATGTACTTCTCGCAACTGACATGACATGTTACCTTGAGAACGAGAAAATCACCTGCCAATGGAGGACCTTGCGCGCATTCATCCTACCCAAAAAGCGTGACCGAAGAGATCTTTGTAACTACAGTCCATTATGGTCGTTCAGTGTGCTCTACAAGCTGTTCATGAAGATTATTCTTTTGCGTATATCGAAGACCTAGAATAAGGCACAAGCAGTCGAGCAAGCAAGATTTTGAGAGGAATTCTACTCCATGGGTCTGATCTGAATGATATCTGGAATCATAGATGTCTATGACTAGTACCACCTGCCGTTTTTCAGATTATTTATCGACTGCAAGAAACCGTTTGCGAGCGTCTAAACAAACGCAATCCTGTAAACGCTCGTCGACGAAAGGGTGGACTCCCTCTATATACGAACCGTTATCAGTCTGCCGGTTCGCTGACAGTTATCGGAACTACAGCACAAATATACAGCTCTTTCATCGACCTCTTCATACCATGCCCATAAGAAAAGGGGTTCAATAAGGCGACACAATATTGCCGCACAGCAGTGGATAACGAAGTCACTCGATAGGGAGGAGAGTGGCATGCGTATTCATGGAAAATTCGTATCAAACCTTCATTTTGCTCATGACATCGTCATTTTTTCGAGGAACACTTGCGAGGCAGAGACGATGCTAACACAAGTGGATGGAAAGGGAGATTAGACTGCATATAAATAGGTCGAAGATCCAGTTCATGAGGTTCGAAGGCGGCTAAATCGAACTGGAGTGCTACTTTGACTACAGGGGCTACTTCAAACTTCTTGGATGTTCAATGAACATGGAGAAAAACGTGGAGGATGAATTAAATAGAGGAAGGAGAACAGCATGAGTCGCGTTCATACCTGCCAAGGAAGCCACCGACCAACTGGCGGACTCAAACGTCCGCGCTGACCTCTTCGATTCAACCGTCTTCTCAGCGCTATGCAGATTTGCTGACCATGTAATTAGAAAGGCAGACGACACATTGATGAAAAGAAATGTGGAGTGAACTCCAAGAGAACGCTTGTGTTCTCTTGGAAGATCATCCAGACAATGGGCGCACGTGTTCCTTGATAACATCAAGTATCCACATTTAGAGATGGAAACACAGGAATTTGGAATGGGCTTCATGGACGTTGGCATGTTTGATGCAAGCCACCACCATGGACGCCGACTGCGTGGGAGAGAACTGAATGGAAATTATCTTGAGGTCTGCGCCATAAGTAAAGACGAGTCGTCCAAATTCCGAAGAAAAATTTATGTTCGAGCAGACACGAGCTCATCGATGACAAAATTTGTTCAATGCTGGCTAACCTTTTGGCAGTTCCGCCTTATTAAGAGTCTATGAAGGTCAGATTGACACCAATGTACTCATCCATACAGTTTCTCAATACTTAGTCTCTGGCCACTACTGTTCTGTGGGTATATCGACGACTATCTTGTCATCTGATAAACACAAAAGGAGATGGAGAAATGTTTAGAATTGCTAAGCCGACACACAGATTTTGCCGTAGAAAAGCTGAAGAAAGACTGGCTTCTTCTGTCATTGAATGTGCGCAGTAACCTATAGAAAAATGCCTACACCACCAAATGTTATCGGAAGGCAGTTAACAAAAACATACTGGGCCATTATATTTCCTCTCGCCGCTTTCACACAAAGAGAGCACTTGTGAGAAATATGGTTCGAAGAGCAGCCAGTGTGTTCGCAGAAGAATATCAGAAGGAGGAATCGCTGAACTTGGAGCGGAAAATAGGCATTTCCAAAGACTGCGAAACGGTAGCTCCTCTGGATAGCTTTAGTAGAAAAACGAACATCCAGAACGGCAAGTCTGATGAAAAAGTGCCTTTTAATCTGCTCTTTATCTTCAACGAAGTAAACACAGCTATAAAGCGATACTCAGCAGGGGTTGGTATAGAGAAATCGCTAGCAGTGATTGAAATACCACCAACCACTCTAAACTGCTAGTTCGTAACCGTTTTTATGACCATCTGTTTAAAAAAAGATCACATAATTTGTCCTAACCTTAAGGACGGCATTTGCATGAGTTTGATATGGTGTTCCTTATTTCTTGCAAATCGTTCAGAGAGAAATACGGTGGCGAAACGGTTCGATCTCTCTGCATCCGTGTAAAAGAACACCTAAATTTGATGTTGCACCAAGTACTCCATTACTCGCGCATAGAGCACAAAGACAATAGAGAAGATTTTGAACGAAACGTTCCAACCATTGCACAGAAATCGAAAATATCTTCGTACGAAAGTCTTTAAGCATTTGGAATACACTTCAAAATCCAAAAATCAGACGCAGGTAGTAGTGCCTTGTGATCATATTAGCCGTTGCCTCCTTAAAACTCTAAAACTCTGCAGCTCTGTCCACCAAATAACTGGAAAGCTTACAAAGAACAAAACCATTGATGTATAGAAGAGGGATTCTATAGAAGAGGGTTGAAAATTTAGGTATTAATTTTGCCTACTGACGACATTAAAGTGTGAGTTGACTGATGCCAATTTAACATTTCCAGACTCTAAAGGAGGCTAAGCAGCCGAAATTTTGGCTGGTATTGAGTAAATCTTGTTATTGACAACCTCATGTATGGTAACGAATAAGAAGATGTCTTGAAAAAACATAGCAGAAGATAAATCCAATGTGTTCGAAACCTACAGAACGTTTGTTGTATTTGTATGTACTATTTTGTAAATGCTTAGCTTAAATGACTTGTAGTTTTCTTTCACAAATGGGGATACTGGGTAACAGCACCAACAGTTTGCACTTTTTTCCATTCGAGTGCAATTTTTCGTACCAACATTTACTTTTATGGATGAAAGCGCTCCAATGAAATCTTAGGGATCGTTTGAGCCCTTCTCCAATGAGAAGTTGTTGCGATAGAAAACTGGACGATTCATTTCGCTTTGCTTTTAGAAAGAATATTCGACGTCTGGAATGGCTAGTTTTACAAGCGCCAGTGGTCCGTGCTCTCATCATCGTCAGCGACATCATCGCTGTGGCTGAGATGAGAGAAGCGGCCAAGACGTACGTTCCTGCTGTCTCTGCTAAGTTTTGATCAGAGAATGTAAGGAAGACAATAGTCCGTAAGTCAATTAAGTGTGATCTGCATATAGGTCAGGTGGAAAATTTCATCTGAATGGGTATTTGGCATTTAAGTACTCAGTGTGTCAGTTAAATGTGGTTTACCCATAGGTCAATACGCCAAGGTAGTTAGAAAAGCTCTATACTGTAGTAAAAAAGTTCAGTACAGTGGGTGGTTGTGATCTGAAGACTTCCGTTGTGTGCAAGAAGAAAGGCATGTTTGTTGCTTGGTAACAAATGATATTTGTTTTATTTAGTTTTCTACGGTATTCTGACATTTTCTCGGTTGGTTCATTGTTGCTTGCCATTTTTGGCGTCCACACGTTGGCAAGAGTGACGTCGGTGAGATTTCAAGCTCAGTTTTCAATTCTTTAGCAATTAATGCGTAGACTTTCGTAAAAAGAACATTCTCGAAGTGAACTCTAAGATTTTCATGCAATCGAGTTTTCCGGGCTTTGTAGGAGTTTACTAGGCAGTAACTGTTAGAGAAATGCTCACTTTAAAAATATGGTCTTCATACCGATTGCTGTGTTTTGACGTTTTTTTTGTCAGCTGTTTGTTGTTTTTTCTAGTTTATTTGATTCCTAGCATAGGTTGTCTATTTATAAGTTTCAACAGGAAAAGAAAATGTAGAATCAGGCCAACAAATAGCGCGTCTGGAACAAGACTCATCATTTCTACTTTCATTTCACGATGAAGCTGTTCCTAACTAGGGCTCATGTGGCGCTTTTTAATAGCCTAATCTTTATTCTTTTAATAGTCTAGAAAATGAAAGGAATCAGGAACGAGTTTTGCAGAATAAGCTTTCCGACTACTGCTTCATGACGGTGTTCCGCTTCGTTGATGTGTCGCTGCTCTTCTTCACAGCTCAACAGCCGATGCTTTTCCAAAACATTCTCGTGCGGTTTGATCTCATCAAATGTGGACCTTTGCTTACTGCGCAAGAAAACGCAACTTGTAAGTGTTGGAAGCAGTACGGTAGAGACGTGCTTAGTTATTTTACGTTTTGTTTGGATGCAATCGTGGTCGTAGCAATAACGCCCACATGACGCTCAGGAGGCACCGCCTGAGACGCATAGGTGGGGCGTGAGCTCGGCAGAGTGATTTTGTCCAGTTCATTTTTTCTTCTTGGTTTACTTTGCCAAAGAGATTTCTAGTCTTGCTTTTGGTGTTGAATCGATGGGTTGTCCAACACAAATGTTTCATCAGCGTCTCCCTTAAAGAACTGTTCTCTAAATAACAGTTTATAAGGAGCGTAATTTTTTTTTGTAAAACCTAATCTTGTGGCGAGAAACTATTGTTATTGAATTGTGTGCCTATAACCTTGATGGAACGTATCTGTTTAACACCTGGAATTCAACACTCAGGAAAAAACAGCTTTTCGCTAGGATAGGATGGTAAATGATCGTTAGGACTTTTCCGGGTTGGTCGATGACCATATAGACTATGTTTGCAAATGTGAAATACAACCACAATGACGCTGGGATATGTGCGAAATTCAGAAACCTAGGTAAGCTTCGAATCCATGATCATCCTTTCATCATGCCCAAGTGTTATCTAATGTATCAAAGAGGTCTTTGCTTTTCCTTGCTTTCAGCTAGTCATAATAGGCAATAAGTAAAAAGCTAAACACTGTGATTTCGACTCCAGCTTCAGCTTAAGTGAGTTCAGTGCTGATTTGTACTTCTCAGATCAATCCGGTTGTTAGGAGATGGTCGATAGAACCGTTGAGTAGGAAACTAGCTCAGAAAAACACAAACCAAGGATCTCAGTGGTGTGTAACACGCGAGCCCCCGAAAAGGGTGGTCCTGGTGCGATCTGGTCTCGGGTCCAAGTTTTGCAAATATCAGCATCATTGTGCTTGCATTTAAAATCACACGCTGGCCTGAAAAATTGTAGTAGGCAGCAAACAAAAAGCTTGTATTAATAATATTATTGAGACACTCTCAAATGTGATAGTACTTCAAGGACTGCCGACAATTTTCTGAATACTCGTAGTGGTTAAAAATTTTAGAGCCATATTTTAAATGTTGACAGGAGCGGCAGCCACGAATAACACGCGTTCGTTATGCGTTCGAGTAACCATCGTGTCCTGCTAGACAAAATTCCAACATTTTCAAGATCCTGATAATGCGAGCTTCGAGCGAAAAAAAAGAAATATGTTTTGCGGAGGAGCTGTAAGACATCGAAATTTTACCACTACTGTACAAAAAGAATTTTTTTTTTGTTTGCGAAGATCCGTACATTGTAACGGTTCTCATTTCGTTCGACAGAGTTCACTATGAGCTACGGTACCTTTGTTTGAAGTTCAGATAAGCAGTAGTCCACCCATAAATGCACTGAAACCAATACATGCTCTAGCTGTTATAGTAACAACGTTGATGGGAGAATTAGGCCTAAATCTCTATAGGAAATGAATTCGTCCAACCAAACAGCATTCAAATCCTGTTTCTTTGTGATGAATGTATCGCACATTTCTCTCCCCTTGGTGGAAGGAAATGTGATTTATCCACAAACACCTGTTGTTTTCTTCTTTCACTTTTTAAGCTGAATATTATTCTTCGCAAACGTTTCAGTTAGTGAAGAATTTATATGAGCCGTTCCTACGAACCGCTATAAATGGTTCCCTGCTTAAGTGTAGGACGTAACCAATTGAAAAGTTATTATTATCATAACAACTGTTCAAAATTTGTGCATTTCAGTTGTTTGCAACTTTGTCATCATCTGCGAGATGTTCGTATTGAGTCTACTGGCCACAGTATTGCTGGCTCCTAGAAAGAATGCGATGTTTGATAACTACCGTATGCTGAAGACACCAACGTCGCTTCACGACTCTGACGAATCCGAAAACATGGCCGGCAGTGACATCTTGCAATTTAGCGGTCACCTGTAAACAGGAGCCGGACTCGAAGTAGTCACAGTCACGTCTGTCATTCAAGCTCTTTTGTATTAATGTAATCGCCATGTAATTCATTAACCCAGTTCGACTGCTGATATCAGAATGAATCCAGGCAAAAGTCTCAGTCTCTCTTAGTACTGGTTTTTTCCTCAGGTTCTCTGGGACTTCCAGAAATATTCCTAATTATTGCGGTTCTTTTCGAAGAGGAATGTGCAAAAAGTTTTCAAGTAAAGTGCGCTCAACCTTAGCAAATTGAGGAGCCGAATTCCACATATGAGAAAAAAGGCTTCATACCGTTTGAGAACGTTCTAGGAAAAAGAGTGATGTTCTAACTTGTCTGTTTTCTCAAACTTCTCCGATATCAGCTGTCTGTAGTCCTTATGTACTGGTACCATCGACGGTGAATCCCGTTTTTTTGCGAGTCTCTTATTCCGATGCTTTTTTATGGGTGTAACTCTAGCTTACCACCATTCTCGTTGCTCTATGTCTAAACGAAGTATTGAGCAGCTTCATTTCTCATTCAGTCTACATTTTCATATTTCAAAAGTAATGAAATATTCCTGGGACGATTTGTTTATTCAAAGCGAGCCATTTCATGAAACATTTCTTTCCGGGAATCATGAGAAGGCGAGCAGGTAAAGAAGATTTGTAGACTTGCATCAATCAACAGTGTCGTTTGGCAGTAATGGAGGCTCAACGAGGAACTTGGTTTCGGAGAAGTTTTCCTGGAATAGGAAAAGAACATTCTTTATTAGTGTGACAAATAAAGGACCAGTAGGAAAGAGAAGTCTGCTTGAGCTATTTGCAATACTCCGGATCGCAGGTGTCTGCGGTGGAGATCAAACCTTGTTATAACCCTTTCCGGAGGCTAACGTGTTCACTACCACATCACGCGTGTCCTTCGTTTCGCCTTTCTCTCATCCCTTTTATATGGATTACCAGTTGTATTTGACATCACACCCTGCCGTGAAAAAGATAGGCCGAAAATAAAAAGTAGTTGCGTTAGAAATTTCCTGTTATAAACTCCACTGAAATGTCTGTTGATAAAATACAAGTTTGTCTCTCACAGAGGCTACGACCGTTGTTTGCTGGTGACGGCAATAAAAAGTTGAATAAGTATCAAGTGTGATATGGACGACTGTTTAGAATACTAAAAGACAACTTGGTAATGAAACGAAAAGTGAAGATATCTTTCTACTTCTGTTCAGCAAACGCGAGGTGCTATTTTATTTCTTTATTTACGCACAGGCTGACGTTTCGGCGGATTTCGCCTTCCTCAGAGCCTGGAAGGGTCAAGTTGACAGCAGTCCACTCGGCCAAACACCTCCATAACCAAACAGAGAAAACGCCAAACCAAGATTTCAATCACATTTAGCATAGCTCTGCACACTCACCGCTTTCTATGAGTATCCCACTGAGCATGTCGCGTGGAAAACAACCGCACAGAATTCACATGGAATCGCAAAGCGCCCCTCCCATCAGAATAACAGGCTTATATACTGCCCAATATCACGCGTGATAATGAGGCATTCCTCCCTGCGGATTATTTTCGGATTCTTGGAATTAATCCAGAATGCCTCTAGAGTTTTGCGCGCTTGTGTTTCTCGATTCTTGCGCGAGGATCGTAACCCTTACTTCAAGGTCCAGAAGAATTCAATTTTAATGCTTTTTCTTCAATAAGCAGACACGACGTTGTTAATATAGAATTTATTAGAATACAATAGCTGACGTTTCGGCGGTTTCGCCTTCTTCAGAGCCATTTATTTGTTATCGCCCATGTATTACTCTGTGCGGCGGCTATCCATGAACTAAAATACTTACAACAAATAAACGGCTCTGAAGAAGGCGAAACCGCCGAAACGTCAGCTATTGTATTCTAATA